TGTCTTATGGCCATCGAGGGAGAAACTAAAGTAACTTCTAGTTAATACATTAATGAATATTCTTTTGATGAATTGTAAGAGGCTTACGATGAATATTCTTTGATTCATGACTTGGTAGAATCTTTCTTTCTACCAAACGTTAGGTGCATATTGTAACTGTTGTATTTTATTTATTCGAATAAATTTTTTTCCAAGTTTGATTAATTAAATATAGAACACGTGTTCGATTCATTAAAACAATTACAATAAAGTTTTTTCAAACATTATATATTTTTCATTTTAAGGAAAAAACAACAACTAATGATGCCTATGTCCACCCATATCACACTGTGGTGGACTATGAGCCCAACACGAATTTCTACGAATCAATCTATCTTCACCAACATCAGCATCACCATCATTAGCATCATCACCATCACCATTTCCATCTACATGTGTAGTACCACCTCTGACACCGGGACCGAGACTGGTGTAGAATATGCTTTGCACGACATCTACTCAATATTGTCGGATTTGAAGTTTGTTGTCGGATTTGAAGTTTCTTATCGTATGTGGAAACTAAAATACCGTTGATGGAACAAATGTTGATAAAAGTGACGAATAATATGGTTAAACTGGTACATGAAGGCAATACGAATGGATAACCACCACCAAACATGAAGGAATGCATTGATGAAAAAATCTTCCGTCGGAGGCGGCATATGTTGAAAAGATTCTAACTGAGTTGAGTGAGTGAATGACTGTTGTGGCAATGGTGTTTGAGGCCCAACTACGTACTTTTCAGGTGCTTGTGCTATTATCGATTATGAGGCTCGAGTGTGTTTTCTTCTTGATTTGTTGGATTCCTCTTCACCTCTAGCACCACGATGCGTTGGCAGACGTGTTACGTTAACGGGTGATTTTGGGGAGGCACATAAATTTCTCGTGCTTGCTCCTATCCGGTTAGTATATGCTACATCCTATATTGTTCGTACCACAACATGTAATCATTTGAAACACTTTTCTCGAAGATGGGTTGACAAACAGGTCGCCTATATAATCTCGTCATCCACCGCGACATCTATTCCGTATAATGAATCTTCCAATTAACATTTATTTTCTCCTGTCATATTATGTGATGCAAGTCATCCAAGTCTAGTGGTGGTAGCGGAATCGTTTGGAAACAATTAAATTGCTACAACACGTGATCGGTAGGATGCCACTTGACTATCTCATATACTATCAACGGGACTATGCACTTCCAAACATCCAAGCTAAAACCTATTTTATTCGAAGTACCCGGTGTAATAACATTATCAATGTATGGAGTCCATATGAACTAATTTTTTAAACTAAGTTAGTAAACTATAATTGAAAAATGATTTTTAAATAAAAAATGAAATCAGTTACAATTATTACCTCGACTTTCATCTTATCAATCAACAATTTGAAATCACACAGAGTTTTTGGTATGTGGGTGTGAGTTAGTGTGTCAGTCCACCTAACATTCATATAACAAAATATAATTATCTGTAAAACTCTAAAAATGTATAATAATCTAAATATATAAATGTATTTTATTTTAAAGTACCTCCGAACTAGTAAAAATTGAAATGAGACCAGTTGTGTAGGAATTAGGCGTAAAACGACATTCGCAACCAAGCCTACGATTTGCAACAACATCAAACAACCTCTAATAACTTATTTATCCGATTCAACAACTTTACAAAGCTCCGGGAACAGAAAGGCTAACACTGTCGATCCCCAACTTTTATATTTAGAGTTATACAAAACGAGTAAATGATACAACCGCATCAAATGCACTTTGTTCCATGATTTATATGGTATCAAGATCCCTCTAATAACTCGTAAAATATGAGCACTACAAAATGGTGTAAAATAAATCATATATTAAATAATTATCATAAAAATTTACAATAATAACAAATAAATTTTAATATTATAAATATAAAAATAAAAATAAGTAAACGTAACTTTCAAAAATCACCTCCTTAATTACTAGAGGAGTATTGGGGGTAGTTGCATAAAATTGTAGTCTAAAAATTTGATTTTGATATTCCCTCCATCCAAATCGCTATCGTTCGGAGGGATTCCGAGCATTTCCTCACACAAGCCGTACCATTAGCCATCGATAATACCGATAATAGCCATTCTGTCAATAGGCAGCCTAAGATGGAATGCACCATCTTCAAGGGTAATAGTCGCCTCCACAAAAGGAAAATGAAACGTGTGCGTCTTTGGCCTCCACCGTTCTAACAACGAGTTTATTAGTGGATGATACAACTTCGTACCACTAATTATAGTGCTAAGGTAACTAAAACAGTCTTCGTGTCTGCTTTCGCTCTCAGATCTGACTTGGGACTTGATCTAGAAAGAAGAAGTCGAGTACCGTGCCATGTCTTCTATTAAGAAATGAATTTTTTCTTTTCTTATAGCTTTATAAGAGTAGTCATACAGTGAATTCACGTCTTGCCCATGTTTCAGAGGCGAACAACGAGTTAGCGAAAGAAGGGAAGCTTCAGCGTAGGGAAAGACGCTTAATTAATAACGGCAAAAAGCATATTCCACAACTATAGGGAGTCCTTTACTAAGTAAGTTAGCTTGAACATGCCAACAGAACAACCGATACTTACTCTTTTCCCTGGGACATCTAATCAAAACTAATACAGCTTGAACCCCTTATCTTTGAGACTACCCTTAGGACTCTATTAAGTTAAGTCATTTAACAGCAGATAGACACAATATATGATAACCCTTACACGATAGTAAAAAAGAAGGCTTTCGTTAAGGTAATTTGCCCATACAATAGAACAATGAGAGCAATCAATTCTATAGCTACTTTAGGACAATTCCTGCCTTAAGGACCCCTACTGTGAAAATAGCTACTACGCATCCCATATCAGATAATATCAACGAAAACACCCTTATCTATGAAAAAATATCATCATGAGGGCTTGGGCAACGATTGATATAAAACATTAACAAACTTTCAAACCCCTTCAAATAAATAAATTAAATTAAATTAAATAAATAGTCGAATAAATAAAATATATAAATACCTCCAGATTTGTCCACTAATAATCAAACACATACATTCGATCAAGCCTCAGTAACTTGGCATAATAATCGAATAATGGAATAGATAAGAGAAAGAAACAAAAAGATAGATACATGTAGAGTGAGGTGTGATGACTTTTGTTGAGAGGCCTCTATTTATAAGAGTCCTCTCACCCCTTCCGAAGCACGATTAAAGAAACATCGCGTTAGACAAGGCGCGATGTCTGTTAAAAATATTTGTATTTAGATAAAACTCGCACTTCGTAGGACATGAGGTTGTAGAATCTAATTTCAATTTTTATTTTTTTTAAAACACGATAAATTATTGAGATATTTTAATATTTTGGGGACCTCGCATTACATAGATAGTGAAATCTTTTTTTAAAATATTAAATTATGTTCTCTAAAAAATTTTTCTGCGTTGGAGAAGTCTTCCGCCCTATATACCGCGAGGCCTTAATCAATATTTTGTAGGACGCAAGGTAATCAATATGTACAGTTTAAGAATATTTTTTAATTAATGTTGTTTGGGGGTATCAATCCAATAAATGATTTTTTGGGTTTTTTTTATATAATAACACCTTACTTGTCTATCTTCCCCCTGAAAACACAGGTAATCTCTCTCCCATCACGATGCTCGACTTTTCTTACATTCTCTCAACCCATGTTGGGTTGCTGTTGCAGTCTTTGACCGAGGCCAACCCTAAGTCAATTTTTTGAGAGCTCTGCCAGGTTTTATCTTCCTCCCTCCATTTTTTCTTGCATAACTCAGTTTTGTATTTTTAGGTCACTTTCAAGTGATTGGTATGATCACTCAAAATAAAATGAAATAATCCTAAAATCACGCAAAAACTTGGCATTAGATTTAACGTATTTTTAAAAAAATAGATTGGTGTTGTCTAAACCCTAGGAATGGATATATATTTTGTATAAAAATATAATGGATGTTATTATACTGAAAGGTTGAAAGTGAATTAATTCAAACCAATTATTTTTCTATTTTCTTGAAGAAAAACCTAGACGGATACCAATTAGCTAATAATTCTTTAGAAAAATCTGTGATTTCCCAAATAAATTATATTTAAATGTTCATGAGCTAGAAAATGCACTATTGTCGACTCAATAGCCAGTTCCTAGTTGTGTTAGTTTTTCAGCTTGTATAAAAATGACATCTGATTTTACCAAAACCTATACACTTGTGTTTGGGGCGTGAAAAGTGATATTCATCAGGATAACGTGGCCCGTTTATTCTTTCAATTTAATATATTCTGGATAACATATGGCCTGTTTATTATTGGCAGTTCATTGAATATGGAATTGAGGGAAGCGTGCTTCAGATCTGTTTGGATTGCTTGAGTTCTCCCAAGACAGATTCAAACAACTTGTAATTTGTAGCCTCACAATATTTAGACATACCATGGACAAGCCAAACTTTTTTACTGTCTTTTATCAGTCACTAAGAAGTATGGATATCAATGAGGATTTCTTGGAGAATTTATCAAGAGTGTTGCAGTTATCTCCGTCTGAAAAAATTGTAGTTGGCTTGCTCTGTCTGATTCTGAGAATCCCAAGACAAGAATGCGTGGTAAGCTGCATTGTTTGTTTAATGGATGTACTCTTGATTTGTTTATGTTAGTGTTTATTTTAGAATCATTTGTACCTTCCCAGGGAAGAATTTCTGTATGTCTCAGATTGAGGAATTGCAATCCAATCCTTCCTTTTATGAATCTTCCATGTAAATTTAGAATATAGTTATGTTCCTCTAGTGCTCCAATTCTTTTCCAAGCGCGCATATTCCTTTATGCAGTTGTTATCTCTAGTTCAAACCAAAGATGTTCCGAAGTTTGTTTTATCTCCACTTCTTTCAGATGATTGCATGAGGCAACTTTCTAAAGGTGCTAATTTCTTCTAGTTCCTCTTTTCATTTAAACTTGCAGTTTTATCATGAGCATTTCTATCATGTTCTGTTAATTTTGTTTTCTCATCATTCTGTGATTACTCATTTTATATTTCCTTTCTCTGCAATAATGTGGATTTCTTCAATGAGTCTGGAGAAAATGATTTTGATGCTCTTTTAGCATAAATGGAGAAGGAAATGAGTATGAGAGATATCATCAAGGAACTAGGTTATGGTTGCACTATTAAGGCTGCACATGGCAAAGAGATTTTATCTCTTTATTTACCTCTGACAGAGATGACTATATCTAGGATACTTGGCGCAATTACCCGCACCTATGTTAGTCTTGAGGACTATCAAACCACATTTTCAACATTTCGCGTGGCCCTTGGTTGCAGCAATTCATTGGATTTGCCTACATTGAGCTCATGTAACATTGATGTTCTTATAAAAACTATAAAGCAACTTGTAAGTTCTGCTTTTTTTTTCTTATGCAGTTTTTATTGTCTTTATCTTTCTCTGTGAAACATATTTTCATTATTTTTGGAGGCACCTGGTACTAACTGGGTTTGAGTTATTGAACATCTAGATCACGAGGGGTTCTACATTCCCAATGAAGCAACATTATCTTTTTTCATGTCTGTATATAAACATTCATGCCAGGTATTATTTATTACATTTTAGCATGTGAGAAGTTGGTTGCTTGTTCTTTTTCTTTTTTAATAATTACTTTACATTTATTTAATTTATCTATGGAACTTGTGTAGGAACCATTTCCTCTCCATGCCATATGTTGGCCTGTGTGGAAGAATATTTAAGGTCAGCTATCATTTCAAAATATGCTGTCGCTGCACTGCCGGAAGTATTTACTCACCCCTAACATCAATGACTATTTGTTAATGAAATACAAAAATTTAACCTCACTGATGGTACAACACTTTCAGCGCTAAAATACAGTAGTGTGACAGCAGCAGTGGTAGTAGTAACAAAGTAATTGATGCTTAGCCTGGCTTCATGCGTGTATGGAGATCATCTAAGACTATTGGAACCATGTTGATCATTGAATCTTGTAATTGTTTGTTTGTAATGTGAAGTATGTGACGGATGGGATGCAGAAGAATCAGTCCTTAGACCTCTTGAAGAATCTACCACCTTTGTTTCCCATTCCTGTCCCTGCCAGATTTGATGATAGCAGAGCTCTGGAATCTGGCCTCCATTTCATCTCTTTAAGCAAACAAAACAAATTTGTCAGTTCATGTGTGATTTCACTATCCTTCACGTTATTACATGACACTACCCTTAATTGCTGAAGCCCTTTCCATGAAAGTACTACCCACTCCAAACCTTTTATTGTCAGCAATGAGCATCCTTCCACAGAAGCAAGCTTCACTCTCCTACACAATCGGCAAAAGAAAAATAGAGACCGGAAGTCAGAATTCAAGCTAGGTGATGAAAAGGGCATACCATGGGCATATCATTAGATATTGAACATATTAAACATCAAGAGCAAGGCAATACCCACTTCTTTAACTGGAGTCCACTTGTGAACAATCCAGAAATTTATTGCTTTATTAGTGCAGTAACTAATTCAGAAGTCAGAGACCTAATTTTCTCTTCTTATTGCAGTCATCACTAATTTTTACCTCTCGACTTGGTTAATACCTACACCACTGCTATAGTATATCAATTTCCTAACAACCTGAATAACGATGCATTTATGAAAGACAAAAAAAACATTGAACAAAAGTATGCAAATAATCTAACATATCAGCTAGTTTTCTTTTCCACTCTCCCAACTGATACAAAATTTTGAACCAGAAAGAGAATATAGATGCACAATCGAGTTAATTTTATTTTTAAAAAAAAGATAATCCATGAACAAAAGCCTCCTACCTACAAATACTGGCGAGGCTAAACACATCATCATCCAAACCCCAACAATTGTTAAAAGCATGGCCCTAACATTCTCGCAAACAAAAAACAACGCTTTAACACTTTGCTTATCCCGAATTTGACAGCGTTCCAACTGCAGGTCCTCGAGAGTCAAACAAGACACCAGATGTTGGTCGGCCCCTGGACTCTCTTTAATACATTTACAAGACTTGAGCTTCAAAGTCTTCAAATTCAAACAGAAGGAAAGGGCGGCTAACCACCCACCATCCATCCTATTGATTGTAAACTTCAAGCATTCAGCATTGCCCTATCCCTTCACACCCACAAAGCTCAAGCTTAACTAACCTCTTACACCCTTGGGCTAATAGAGTCAACCCAATATCTGAAATTACAGAATTGTAAAACCCATCAATAAAACCAATCAACTTCACCACTTGTAAGTTTTTAATCCCTGAAATGCCCTTCAGAGCCAAATCATCACAAAAATGTAATTCCAGTTCCTGTAATGTACCACACTCCGCCGCAATTCTTATCAATCCTTCTTCGTCTGCCCCAATAGCTACTAATCTCTGTAAGTTCGGGTACTTTTCGGCTACCAATGTAAGCCCTTTGTCAACCTCATTTGACGGCAAGAATGATGTTTCTCCGAGGAACCCGTCGACGGTATAATTGGTATCAACATGAACCGACGTCCTTTCGCAGGTCACTAATATGCCAGAGTTTCTTGGCATCCGGAAATAGGAACGAACGAGGTCTAAACCGGTGATATTGGGGAACCGATTAAAAATCCGACCCGAAGAAACAAAGGACCAATCCATAACTTTAAGGGATTGCACCAACCGGCCGTTAAGGTACAGCCAACGCTTGCACACCAAGGAATTAGAAACATGTTGAGAGATGGGAAGCTTCGAGAATATTTTAAGGAGGAGTACGTCGGAGAGGAGGAAAGTGCGATCTGGTTCAATATGGTCTAACGGAGGTGATTGAAAGGCTGTTGAATCAGGTTCCGAAGGCGGCGAAGCAGATGGCGTGCGGCTGAGAGGATGGTTGAACTGCTGCTGCATCTTGAAAATAACATGCTTTAGACTTGTTTGTTTGAACCAAATGTCTTATAGGCTTAGGGACTCCAGCCTCCACTTGGATTTTAGCGATGGAGGTGGTTTGAAGTTGGAATCCAAATTGGGGCAAAGGTTAGGATTTATCTCGGGTGATTGTGACATTTTGTAAGGTATTATTTTTGGGTTTCCCCCCCCCCCTTTTCTTCCTTTTTAATTAATTTTTTAATGAAATGTAATCCAAATTCATTGTTTTGTTGGTATTTTCTTTTTCATTTCACAATATAACGGAGAGAGAATAACACTGTTTTTGAAAATAACAAAGTACTAAAACTAATAAAAATATTGAGTAAACTATACTAGTAACCACCTAACTATAGTTATTTTTAATTTTGATCACTATTTTTGAATTTGTGTCAATCAGGCAACCTAACTATTTAAATCTATTCAATCAAGTCACTAGCAATTAATATTTAATGAGAAGATGATGTGGCAGTTAAAATTTTTGGTATAATTACATATTTTATCCTCAATACTTATATATTCTATCAAATTAGTCATCATTATAATTTAAATTGGTAAATTTAATCCTCCAAATAATGACACATATCATTATATAATTAATTTTTTTTTATAATTTAATATATTTAATTTAATTATTTTTTATCCAATTAGATAGTGACATGTGGCATCATATGGTTGGATGGAAAACAAACCACAAAGAAACACAAATTAAGGGGGTTTAGCATACTCGAACCCCAACTATTTAAATGCATTCAATTAAACCACTAACCATTAATATTTAATGGAAAGTTGACGTGTAGTTAAAAAAATTGGTATAATGACATATTTGATACTCAATACTTATATATTTTATCAATTTAGTCATTATTATAATTTAATTTATTAAATTTAATCCTCCAAAAGATAACAACACGTGTAACTATATAATTAAAGTTTTTTTTAATAATTTAATATATTTAATTTAATTATTTTTATCCAACCAGAAAGTGACATGTGGCATCATCTCGTTGGATGGAAAACAAATCAGAAAGAAAATACGTTGTTTAATACACAATAATATATATATATATATATATATATATATATATATCAAAAAGGAATGAAAAAGGGGTGTGGTAAGATTCAAACCTACAGCACAAAACTACTAAAGCAAATATTATTTGGTTAAAATTTGGATAGATATTTTATATATTTTAAATAATAGTTTATACAAGAATAAAAGAGAAATTAAATTTAATTCTTGCACATGATTAAAATTGGTTTCTAATTACACATTTTAACTATATAATCTAATAAAATTAATTAAAATAGAAATGATTTGTAAATTTTAATTTTTTTTAATAAAGTTAAAATTATTAATTAAATAAAAAAGAGTATCGATTTTTAGATAGTTTCTCTTTTAATCTTCTATAAACTAATATTTGAAATATATAAAATATCTATTCATATTTTAATCAAATATAATATTTGCTTTAGTAGTTTTGTGCTGTCAAATTTTATATTTAGTCTAAGTTCGAATCTTAACACACATTTTCCTTTTAACCTCATTTGAAGCAAGGAAGAAATTCCTCTCCAAATTGCCTCTATATAAGCCCCTATGAGTCCCTCAAATATTTATCCAACAATAACTAAACATCCATCTCTTTTGCTGGTATTAATTTATATATATATATATATATAATCACATTTGATGGCCTTCGCTAAGTGGTAAGGGCGCGTGCTTCATCATCATAAGTCCTGCGTTTGAGTCCTCTCAGCCTCCATAATTTGATTCTCTGGTTTGTTTTCTATCCAACCAAATGGTTCCATGTGTCACACTATCTGGTTGAATAAATCATAATTAAATTAAATATATAATTTTTAAAAAAAGTTAATGACATATATCATTATCTGATTGGAATATAAATTTAATAAATTAACTTATAATAATGACTAAATTGATAGAATATATACGTATTGAGAATCAATATGTAATAATAATGATTAAATTGATAGAATATATACGTATTGGGAATAAAAAATGTAATTATATCAATTTTTTTAATTACACATCATCTTTCCGTTAAATATTAATGGTTAGTGGCTTGATTGAATATATTTAAATAGTTTGGTGGCCTAATTGATGCAAATTCAAAAATAATATTCAAAATAAAATAAAAAACTATAGTTAGGTGGTTACTGGTACAAAACTAATCCGAATTTCTTTTTGAAAGTAGCAGTCAAACCAGCAAACTTATCTCTAGCATTCAACATAAGAAAACGTATTTTTACATTGTTATTTGCCAAAAGGCACAATTATTATTTTTCTAGAAGGCTTGTTTTGTTACTTGATAATTATATGATCTCCTATGTTTTAACATTGATCTAATGTCACAACATGTGGTTTAGTATGAAGTGGACTTTGTTTAATGGTTAAGACATCTTTTACCAAAAGAAAATATAGATTTAATGGTTAAAATAATGAGAAAATAACCTCAGTGACCGAAAATGCCTTGTAATATACGATTTTCACCAACTTTTTTTTGGATTTGCCAAAATGACCAAGTAAATCGCAATGCGATCGATAATTCGCAACGCGATCTCCGGTATCGCAAATCAGTTTCCAGATTCGCAACGCGATAGTCGAAGTTCGCTTTGCGATTTATTCCAAATTCGTTGCGATAGGCGAAGTTCGCGTTGCGATTCATTCCAAATCGTTGCGATAGTCGAAGTTCGCGTTGCGATTCATTCCAATTCGTTGCGATAGGCGAAATTCGCGTTGCGATTCATTCCAATTCGTTGCGATAGGCGAAGTTCGCGTTGCGATTCATTCCAATTCGTTGCGATAGGCGAAGTTCGCGTTGCGATTCATTCCAAATTCGTTGCGATAGGCGAAGTTTGCGTTGCGATAGGCGAAGTTCGCGTTGCGATTCATTCAAATTCGTTGCGATAGGCGAAGTTCGCGTTGCGATTCATTCAAATTCGTTGCGATAGGCGAAGTTCGCGTTGCGATTCATTCCAAATCGTTGCGATAGTCCAAATATTGCATTTGTTTCTTAAGAATTTTCTCTAAAAAGATAGAATTCGCGCGGACGTGTCGAAGACACGTATTACCACGACCACGACCACGACCACGACCCGACCCGACCCGAGACGGG